GCCTCCGGCGGGCGCGGCAGAATGCTGCGATTGAGGGCGCGGTGGAAAGGGGCCCCTGGACCATCGCCACTGGACTGCGAGGGCCGGGCGGCAGCGGGAGCAGGGAACAGAGCGGGCAGTGTGAGGCAGGAGAAAGGCTGCTGTGTGCCGGACGGGACGGCCCTGCCTGTCAGCAGACGGGGACGCTGCCGGAGCAGCACCCTCCTCCCCAGCACCCTCGCCTCCCCCTTACCCTCGGCAGAGGTGGGTGCTAGGTGCTGCTCTCCCATTTAAGTGATAGAGAAAGGTCATCCCCATCGGTCCTGGTTTTTCTTTCACCCTCATGCCCAGCTGGGCGGCCGCTGCCCTGGTCCAGATCAGTTTTCAGATCCCTTTCGCTGAGCTGCCCCACGCCATCACCTCCAACTGCTAAAAGCGACAGACGCGTTCATTTTTATTTATTTTAACACTTGCACAACACCAGAGCGCATCGAGGCAGGGTGAGCAGGACCGGCCCCTCGCCGGAGCAAGCCCAGCAATCCTTGCTGGCGCTGCGGAGGTGAGGGGGTCAGAAAGGTTCGGCTCGTGCCAAGAAAACCCCCAAAATTGGTCTGCTGTGAAGTTGCCGCTCTCCCTGCAGTGTCTGTATGTGTCGCTCCCTGCCCTGCTGGAGTGCAACCCCTTCCAGAACGAGTGCCGGGAGAGCTGGCGGGCGTCCCCACCGCTGCCCGAGGAGCTCCGCAGGGTCGTGCTCATCTACCAGGCGGTGCTGGACCTGCTCCGCCAGTACGAAGTGCACCCGGAGATCACCTCCCAGATGTTCTCCTACCTCTTCTTCTTCTCCAACACCCTGCTCTTCAACCAGCTGCTGGACAAGGGTCAGTCCTCGAGCACCCCCCTGTAGGGAATGGGCCCATCAGGAGACCCTCTGGCCCATCCTGGTGCCTCCTGCAGAGGTACAGGAGGGAGGGGGCTTCAAGGAGCTTGAAGGGGCTGGAGACAGGCACAAGTCTGGAGGCCAAGCACAGACCCAGCTGCTGTCTCCATTCCCAGGAGGGGTTTAGCCCCACAAATGCCCCATCCTCATCGAGAGCGCTGCCCTTTTGAGCCTGAGCAGAGGAGGCTGAGAGCAGTTCATAGGAGCAGCTCGTTAATAAACCACTGCAGCCTGCTTTGTAACCGAGGTGCTCGTTAGCCCTCATTAACACAGCGGCGAAGTCCAGCCACCACCAGGAGTTACAGCTATCGGATACTGGGGACATTAATCTCAATTTATTTTGCTGCCCTGGGGCAGCTCTACCCCTGGGGCAGGGGCTGGGCTCCGGCCGAAGGATGGGGGACGAGGGGGCTGTTCCCCGACACGTTCTCACGGATGCTCTGCCAAGCTCACCAGCGTGGCCAATCTGCTGGCCATGCCCGGCTCCCAGCTGGTCCAGGTGAGGAGTGCCCGGGCTAGCAGCATGGGGATGGACACGGGCTGGAGACACCCTGCTCAGCATCTGGGGGTCCCTGCAAAGGTGTATGCCCCTTCCCGGGGTGCTGGGTCCGTGGGTGGGCAGCGCCGAGGAGAGGATGCTCAGGTTCACTCCATCTTGCCCAGCCTTTCCCTCCTGTCCCCACTGCGAGCCCCTGCCCCTTGGAGAGAGCAGCTCCTCACCTCTGCCGTTTGCCCCGGCTCTGTCTCCTCGCTCAGATGTCCTGGCCATCCCTGCGAGCTGAGTTCCCGGCGCTGAGCCCTGCGCAGCTTCACCGGGTGCTGAGCCAGTGCCAGGTGGTGATGGATGTGGGCTGCATCGCAGCGTGGCAGCCCGGCGAGGAGGAGAGCCCGGCCGCCTTCCAGCCCGGTGAGCCCCTGGCTTCACGGCCAGCGCTGCGCCTGTCGCCGTGCCCCGGTCACCCGCAGGCTCCCTCCAATGTTTTTATGTACAAACCAAACAGGCAATTCCCTTCCTCTCCCTGGGGCTCCCGTAGTAGCTGCAGTGACCAGGAATAACCACGGCCCCGCGATTCGGGCACTGCAAAGGACGCAGAATGCGCTCAGGAGGGCTTGGGGCCCTTTCTGCGTTCCCAGGCAAGGGGTGCTGAGGCAGCTCAGCGTCCCTGGTCCCGGCTGGGAGACTGCACATGGACGAGAGCCTGGAGGAGGAGTGGGGTGCAGCCCGGGCCAGCGCTAGCCTCCCTCCCTCTGCCTTTCAGATGAGATGCTGGAGTCCTTCGACAACCATCCGCCCATCATCCTGCCCGGCGGGGGCTTCAAAGTGGACCTGGAGGTGGAGACGTTGGACGACAACATCTACCGGCACCTCCTCTACATCTGCCACTTCCTCTGGAGTCTGCAGAGCAAGAGCCCTCACGCCAGCGAGGGGCCAGGCTCAGCACCCCCAAAGGTAGCCTGCACCCCACGGAGGGGCTGCTCCTCTCCTGGGTGGGCAGGAGGGTCTCAGGTCCCTCTGGGGACCCCTCCAAGCCCAGTGCCAAGGGCTTGCTGCCCTGGCCTGCAGCCCGGAGCTGCGGCGATGCCCTCACGTAGAGCTGCTGGCAGGATTAGTGCTGCTAATCCCCCAGCCTGGGGGCTGCGGGAAGGTGAGCTGGAAGGACAGGCTCGTCCCGGCAATCTCGTTAGTGGGGAGGAGGGAGGCAGGGGGGATGTCTGCGGGCAGCGCTCCCCTTCTACCTGCACATTCCCTCGGCCTGCCTGCCCTGCACCCTGCCTGTCCCCACGTAGCCAGGCAGGCTTGCACAAAAGCACTAATTAGCTAATGCCTATAAAGCACAGGGAGGGCAAGACGTGCTACGGGTGCTAAGCTCGACGGCTGTTTGTCTCCAGCTCCCTGGGAGGACGTCCCTCCAGCAGGTCCTCTTCTCCTCTCCTGCCCTGTCCCCATACTCAGGTGCTGCCACCTTCTCCCATCATCCTGGGGCCACATCACCCAGATATGGGGCCACAGGAGGAGCAGTGCTCTCCCTGTGTCCCCCTCCAATGATATCCCCCAGCAAGGACATGACCAGGAGTTCCCTCCTGGCTGGCTCTGAGTGTCCCCAGCGTGGCCCTGGCTGTAGAACTGGGGTGTGGGAGCTGTGCTGGGAAGCCAGGACAAGCCCTGGCACTGTCCGAATTGCCAAGGCTTCAGCTGGACCCAACAGCTGTCCGTGCGTCCAAGCAGGCAGGGTGGTGGGGTGCAGGCAGGG